GACTTGGCTTATGCAAACTCCGCTCTGGCCAAGTGGCTTAGATTTTTTGGCCCAAACCCACACACACACACGAGAGATAGAGAGAGAGAGAGAGGTTAAAAGAACATAATGACAAAGTTTTGCGACTGCCATGGCAGCTCCAAGGTGGCAAGAACTATGTGGGATTAGACAATTTGTATGCCAGCTCCCAGGCAGTCGTTTATATACTTATATTTATGTACAAGTGTGTGTGTGTGTGTATATAGCTGGAAGACCGAGCTTGTGGTTGCACAGAACTCCATAGCCGAGAACCGAGAACCCAGAACCCCGAACCCCTAACCCAGACCAAGACCAAAGCAACCGCCGTCCGCATTAAGCCACAACTGATGTTTACATTTTTAACTACGGCCAAAGAAAAGTTTGCCTTGCCAGCAGAAAACTCAATGTTGCCGCACCAGGATCCACCCACTAGCCACCCACTGGCAGCCCATGAGCCCACCAAGCCCACCCACTTGCCACCCTCTTTCTGGGCCATTTGGGCATAAAATTTAATGCATATAATATTGGCTAATGATGTTTGCAGTTGCGGGGCTTAGTCGGGCATTAACTTGGCCAAGTCCAGGACACCTGCTGTCCCCTATCTTGGCGTCACCCCACCTCCTGCCTCCTTCTTTGGGACCTGTTTCTTATGTAAGTCAGTGAGGCAATTAAGTATACAGACGCCCCCGGACGGCGTGGCCATTTTAATTGAATCAGAGTTTCAGTTTAAAGTGAGAAAGCATCCTTTGAAGAATAGAACCGATTTGTATGATCTCATGTTGGACTCGGTCTTGGCCATAAAAAAGACGTTGTTGGCCAAACAATTTCAAACTCATTAAAAATTGATTGGCAAAACACAAGCACACACGCTAGAATACAATTGCAATTAGTGGCTCGGGCCGGAAATATAATTGGAGACTTTATGGCCAGGACTTTTGATGTCCTGTCCGGTGGGACAGGGGCACAGGCAGGGACGGGAACTGATTTAGTGGAGCGGGGCAGAGATGACCAGGGGAGCAATTCCGTTGCATGTTTGATGATGAATTCCACGTTGACAAGCATACACACCTCCCACACCCACCTCGGCACACTCACACACATGTCGACATTCAGGTACTGGGTGTGACATAATTAAACGCCAGAATCCTGCCAGCCAGCTAATGAGTTGCCGAAAGGGATGCCAGGACACAAAAACAGAGACAGAGAGAGAGAGAACTATAGGGCGACTGAGTGAGATGGGATGCTCTTTTTTTGTTGGAGAGCTCCCAGGCACAAAGTAGGTTAATGTGAAATTATGACAGCGGGTTTGGGGCAGCACTGTGTGTGCGCTTGCATTTAAAATGATTTCATAAATACACAATCTGTTTAATTTTGAGCAGCGCCAGGAGATGGATGGGTTTTCGGAGATCCAGCTGCTCTGATTTGCCGGAGGAGCACCATATGTCCGACCCTAATGACAGGAAATTGTGCGGTCAATCAGGCGGACACACGGACACTCAGACACTCGGACGCACGGACATAGGCTGGCAAAACAACCACAGAAACAAATCATTATGGCCACAAAATCATCAATGGTTCGGTGAACGGCTGACCAGGCATGGCCAGGCCAATAATTTGCATAATCGGAAGTCGAAAAACCCGCATCCGTAGAAGAAACTGTGAGGCAATTAAGAACGATGCCAGACAACGTCCTCGTTCGTCTTCGAAGCAACGGACATTTGTCCGCTTCACGCGCCGGACATCAGGACATCATCCTGGGTCACCCGAATGCATTTAGTAAATTAAAAGGGAATTTATTGCTCACTAAATGCTGCAATTGCCGTGTGCATCCTGCCATCCTGTACTGTACGGAGTCTGTCCCCGGAAAGGTCCTGCCAAATGCCCTCGAGTGCGTGTTTGTTTGTCCGCTCAGCTTGGCTTGCTTAATCTTTGACAAGCAACCAGAGGTCGTTGCCTCGGTTGCACGTTGCCATCCTGGTGGTAATCAGAGCAAACAATGCAAGGAGCAGGGATTGCGCCACAGATATGCGCCAGGGGGATCTGTGTATGCTGTGATGTGCTGGGGCAGGGTCCTGTGCATGCAGCTGGCAAAAACAAGTGCAGATTCTCGGTTCAGGACGTCTAATTAATTATATCATTACAGTCAGCCGGGGTAGGGAGGGGCAATCATTAGGTGAACTGAACACAGCGGCAATAAAATTAGCAAAAGTGCAAATTTCTGTAAATGAAAATGAAGAAATATATTCCGTAGGGTAGGTACTATTAGTCTACCATTTAAATCCACTCTAGTCCACAATCAAAATCAAACAAACTTGGCACTGCTCAGGCATATGAGCACTCCGCTAAATCGGAGCTTATTTCTTATACTGGGGAAAAAGGATACAAAAAAGGATGGCCATAAAAAGCCGAGACAAGCCAGAAGTGCACACTTTGGCAAAATAAATTGGTAATTGCATGCGGCAAGGCAATGCGAGGCAAGGCAAGCCAAGGCGGGCATTTAATGAAACGAAATACAGGACATGCAAATGGCAATCCTCCTGCTACCCAGCTACCCAGCCACCCCTTTGACATAATGAATAGGATTTGGGGTTTCTGCGGTGGGAGAAACAGCCGGAGAAACAACGGGACATGAGCTCCTTTTTGGCCGGGCCAACACTGCAATTTGCACCAGAGCCAAAAAGGATATGCAAAGCGATAGCAATGTAGCAAGGAGGCTGGACGGGGGCATGCAGCATGCAGGCGGCATGGCAACAGATGTTGCATCTTTGTTGAAAAGCAGCCAATTTGGGGCGCACCGAAGCCGAAGATAGACATGGCAGTGTGACAAAAATTTAATATGAAAGCCCGGCCCGGACCCGGAAAACAGAGTCGGCAGCGAAAGACAAAGTAGAAAAAGTCCTGCGAAAAAATGGAGAGCAAAATAAACGGCAAAATAATCGGCACACAATGCATTGGCAATGAGCCAAGTTTACACTGAGAATAAATACTAGACAGCTCTCGGATTTAGCCAAAATTGGTGGTTAACCAAATCGAATATTAAACTTGTAAGTAATTGCAATGGTTTGCTATAAAAAGTTTAATTTATTTTATTATTTAATTAAATGTATATTTTTTTGAGTGCAGAATGGCTGGATGTCTGTGTTGTCCTATCGATGAAATTGTGGTCGCGACACGACCGAGCGATAAAGCCGCTTGCCAGCAACGAAATGGGCGTAACAAATGAGGACAGGTGGAATTTAAAGGGGGAGGCCAGGACCACAGGCCAGGACCGGGAGGAGGACGAGGGATGGCAGAGGTCAGGCCGTGGTACATGTAAAAATTAATTAAGCCCGCCCACGTTCACGTACTAATTGAGAATATAAAGCAAATGGCACGGCCAATTCGGCTTTCATGTGCGAGGCTGACGATGATGATGACGCGGATGACGGAGGGACCTCCGAAAAGTTGAAATTCAATTTAGATCGGGCGCCGGGGCGCCAACCTGAACCAGTTTTTCGATCCCTATATCGATTGGCTTTGTCTCCTCAAATGTCCGCACAAAACTTTCAATTACAGCCTAGTGTCAAAGATCAACAAACAAACAGGAGGACACAGGACCGAAGCGAGAGGGTTTGAGTCCTGCGGGGTATATGGGGGGGTCCTGTGGAAAACCGATGCCAGGGGCAAACATTTCAATTTGCCTGCCGACAGGCAACGCCAGCTGACAAAAGCCAAACAACAAACACACACTCGCACACCCCTCTGGATTTCTGGAAAAAAAAGCGAAAAATCGAGTGTGGATTGGCCCACAAATCGGACAAATAGCGGACAAAAAAACCGTCAAAAGAGGGCGCAGGGGGACGCAGTACACCATTTCATATCCTGTGCTAACGGATGTGACAGGGAGCTGGTTGCCGGAAAAATGGAACTCGGCCCCAAAACGGCTGATGGCCCAAAGCCAGGCTCTCGGTTCGGTGAAGGGGATTAGACGGCATGCCCGGCTTCAGTTTCCAATTCCGCCGCAGAATGCGAATACCAGTTATCCATATCTGGGCCGCATATTAGTTTACGGCGGAAAATTTCGCCACATTCTCAGTTCACAGGTGTGTGTGTGCCACACTGCCATGTATTCCGGAGCGCTTTTCCAGCCCCATCTGCCGGCGGGCAGACGAAATAAAAGAAAAACACAATTCAAAAAAGCGCGAAACATATTTGTTTTCGGTCGGCTTGTTTTCTGCTTTTGTTTGAGCTATTATGGCCAAAATGAACAAACTGTGAGGCAAACATTGGCCAGATATAGGGGATTCAAAAGATGTCATACCCTGGAATATAGTTACTAGATGAGAGGTTTTAAGAGATAGGAATAGTTTCTCATAATTATAAACATTTATAGACTTACCATTTATGGATTAAAAACTTCATATATTTTTTTGCAGGGCATCCAGTCGATGCCATAACCCATGACCATGCAATATTCACAATATTTTTGCCATATTTACTTTCTGGCCATTTTAGAGTGGAAAAATATTTGTGTATAATGTACTTTTTTTGTGGCCAGTATTTTGATTTACAGCCGCAAAATAAACACAAATAAGAGCCGGCCAGAAAACGCGGATGTGTGTGGATATTGGAGGGATATTCATGGGATATCCATGGGATATCTGTGGGATATCCATGGGATATCTGTGGGATATCCATGGGATATATATTGGCTGGTCGATAGCCCTGACTCAGCTTAGATTTATTTGCTTTGCATGCTGCAATATGCATGCGTGGCAACACTCTTTTTATGCCACTAACCGAAGCGGTTTATTGGCGCATAAAATTGAATTGAAACGCGGATACAATGGCCAGGAGCAGCAGCGGGCCAACAGGGCGTATGGATGTGCAGTTAGCCGCCACTTTGGGCCATTGTACTGCCCGCAACTTGACTCAAGACATACCCTTATCTCCCGAGCATGCCAAAAACTCATTAAGGTGGACAAAGGACAAGGCAGAACAAAGCAAATTCCACTCGGCATTTAATGGCTTCCGGTGGGCTTAATTAAAATCCACTGAAAACTTTGCACGTATCTGTCATGCGTCTATCTTAGCAAAAACATACATATTCCGGCTTGAGGTCTACCAATAGAGCAGCAGCAGGTAGAAGGGCCCCAGGCTGAGTATCAGCAGCACCAGGAGCACAAAGCCAAACAGCCACCTTTGGTCCTTTGGAGATGAAAAGGGATTAGCGCTCTCCAGAGTCTCCAAATGGGAGTCTCAACTTACATCACTTTCCTTGTTGAAGGTGGCTCCCACGACCAGGATGCGCCTGCAAATGGGACACCGCTCGGCCACCCAGCCCCTGGCTTCTCTGTAGTTCGCCAGGCAACACCTGCAGAAGACGTGGCTGCACTGAAGCTTCTCCGGAACCCGGATCCGATCCTGGCAGATGGCACACAGATCGTAGTCGCCATCACCTATTTGATGGCCGCCGGAGGAGCCTTTCTTGATCTGTCTCCTCTTTACCATAGTGAATAAGCTCGTGTCCTTCTTAACTTGTTCGTGTTAGTGTAGTTGTAGCAGCGTGTGTATGTGTGTGTGCCAGTCCTTGTTGTAACTAAAAAATTTCCCCATCTGGGAGCCACAGAAAATAAAACTAAATGACAAGAAAGGCGTAGTAGGGGCTGGCAGTCTACGCCGCGATTAAATTTTAATTGAAATCTCCGGCAATAAATCTGACCAGAAAGTGCACCTTGCCAGCCTGCCACCTTGTATCCTGGCCAGACTCTCTCTGGCCAATAAAATTTAATTATATCAACGCTGCCTCAAGTCGAGCGGCAGGCATCGAATGCAATTAGCAGTAGCCTTGTACAACTCAATTAGGAGAGCGGGGGCGGCCCAGGACCCTCGACCATGTGTCGCTATCCTTGACTTGACTTGCCATTCTTTTTCTACATCTCGGCGGCGAGGACAACGCTTTGCACTTTGAGGCAAACGACCGCAGACGACTAGCAGACAAAAATCGAACTTGGCAACTTCTTGGGAGAAGCGACAGGACTGCAGGACTAAGGACGAAGACGAGCAGACGATTACTCCAACAAGGTTTTTAATTAAGCTCAAACTGCAGCCAGCAGGCACTAAAAGTCACATCATTCGCCGACCCATCCCAGGACCTCCAAGGACATCTAACAAGCAGCTGACAAATTGAATCACTGGCGTCAGCTGCTTTGTAATTTAACAGTTGGTAACAACCAAGACATATTATTACCACCAAGCAATTACTTGGCCATATATACTAGTAAACCCTTGGCCAGATCTCTCAGGGGGAGTACCATGGAGGTTGCTAGTTTTTCGCTCAGTGCACTGCCTGCATTTGCATCGCCATGTCGCCAGTCGCCAAGTTGATTAAAAAGTTGCCAGTCGCCATTGAATTCGAGTTGATTGTTTATTGTTTGCCGGAACTGAGATTGTTTGCGATTGTTGGTTAAAAGTTTTTCCTGCGCCTTCCCTACGCAGATTGTTAAATTCGCAACTTGAATTAATTTGCCAGAGTTTCTTTAATTATGTTTATAGATGCCCAAGCAATTGTTCAGACACTTTTCTCCTTGGAACTTTATCCCCCAACTGTTACACTTTTCCAGGCACCCAAGCAGTCAGGCAGCTAGGCAGCCAGGTGGAAAGGTGAAAGGGCGGAAGGTAGAAGGTCCTCAAATCCATACAGTCTGACGTAAAACGCCCAAAGACAAACAGCATCAATCTGGCCAAAAGTTGACTCGAAGGGGGCCAAGATCTGAACTTTATCTTTGGATTCGTTTTGTTATTATTTGTGCAAAGAATTAAAAGGAAATCAAGGGAAATTTTCAACTGAGGAATGCAAACGATTGCTTCGAGAGTCGAGGGTGAGGTGAAAGGTGAACTTTAAAGTCGAGTCTATGTGAGGAATTTCCTGGGTAATCTTTTTTGAACTTTGTCAATCAGTTTATTGACCGAATGTTGGATAAATGTTGATTGAAATTTGGCAAAAATATTTATACATTTTTTTTAATTAAATAAAAGCCATGCCAGATGCTAAATATCAGATTCCGGAATGGAAAACCACAGGAACCTCTTAATCCCAACCATATTTTTAGAAACTAACCAACTTAATTAGTAATCTGGCTTTTGAGAATATCTAGCAAAGTCATGATAAGCTCGGTCTCTGGACTGATTTAATATTTGCAAAATTTTTTGGCCTTTTTAGTTTAGTTTTCGAGTTTTTTTTTTGTGGTTTTCCCTGGAGTCGCGAAAACCCAGAGTTTCCGCTCGATGACGTTGCAGCTTGCTAGCTAGCTACTACTTTCGCTAATGAGCTTTGTTACCGGACACGGCACAACAACAACAATACAAACACTAACAACAACAAAAGGCAACAAAAATGAGGTAACAAACATTAACAAAACACAACGGAACGAAGCTCTGCTCATTTATGCTAAGCTTTTTGTGCATTTAGACCACAAAACAAGGACACCAACCAGCCAACAATGAACAACTGTATCTATATCACGATATAGTGGTGCTTAATGGGTTAACGTGACACCAAATGAATCATGGAGAGCCCAGCTCAGGGAGCCAGCTCAGGCATTAGTGGGTTAATATTTCACAGGAGCCACAGGAGGATCCACCGGAGGAGCACTACCACCGGAAACGGATGTTGCCTGCCTGCCTGCATGACTGCCTCGAGGCGATTTTCCCTAGCAATATTCGTCTAATTTAATGAGCCAGAGTCCCGAGTCCCTTTCCCGAGTCCTGGTCCTGGGCCTTGTTACCTGCTCACTGCTTATTTTGCAATTAGCTGAAGTTTTCCTTTTCCAGCTGGAAAACTAAATGTACGACTAATTAGCAGAAAAGTCTAGTAAATTGAAGTAAATTATGAAAATTGCATTTGCAGGTGTTGCAAATGAAACTCAGGTGAGCCAGAGCCACTGCCAGAGAGATCTTATACTGGCATTGAGTGGCCTTATTTTGGCCATATAATAGCTGCCAGCAGACAATGGGCACAAAGGGCCATTTACTCGCCTTTGGGGCGTGTGCCGAGGCCTTCACCCACTTCACCCACATCCTCAGAGGCTCAGTGGCTCAGTGCAGTTCACTTCACCCGCCGGCTACCGCACATGCAGGCAAAATGCAGGTGAATGCAGGACTAACACCCGGTTACCCAGCTACCTAGCCATCCAACCACCCACTTGGCTTTTTGTGTGCTCTTAAGAAAGAGCCCGTAATTCAGCTAAAATGCACTCAGCCGGGCTGCAATGTTGGCTTTGTTCCCTCAGATGTTGTTGCGGTCGGTCCTTGGCAGAAATCAAAAGAAAAAGCATCTAAAGCTTGGCCCGGCAGCAGGATAATTGGAAAGTAGGTTGCACATTTGGTTGCATTGTCTGAGCCAGATGCAAATGCAACGACCCAGTTACCAGTTACCAGTAGCCAGTAGCAAGTCACCATAAATCAGAGGGCCGGACCGATGGCGAGCAATTTGTCGGGCGATTTGCAACATTAACAACAGGACCCTCGTCTGTCTCATAAATTAAGTTAATAATTTTTGCATTTCTGGCAGAAAGTAGTCCAGATGGGAAGGAAGGGAGGTAGTCAAGTGGAAAGCCTGTGATATCAACGGCTCGTTCGACAATTCAATTGAAAAGCTGGCAAATACATTGCCGATGGCCCAAACTAAAAGATTGTTGACAGCTCGTTACAGCAGCAGCAGCAGCAGCAACGGCAACAACAAGCGCTGCAGGACCAAAAGGATATACCAACGTCACTGGGGTAGGAGGAGGCGAGTGGAGCTGCTAGAGGACTAGAGGACTTTGGGCAATGAAAACTATGCAAATGACATGCAATGGCTGGGAAAACTTTGAAAATCCAGCAGAGTTTCCAGCAGCAGGCGAGCAGTCAAGGGAAAGGCCTTAAGGATAACTGAAGCCAGGAAAGCAGGATATACATACATATATACATTCAAATATATATATTAGTCCGGTATATGTTTATCTAGTTTTTGGGCGAATTGCATTATGCAAAGTTGAGCGATTTGGGATTGCTTTAATAGATAAGCAATATGTTGATGTCGAAGGATGGCTTGTTTTTGCCAAGGATATAAATTGGTGAAACGAATATAGGAGATAAACGGCACAAATTAGAGGGCTAGCCTGCAGACAGGACACCAGAGCAAAAAAAAAAATAAAAAGTTTTCTTATTTGATGAGTTTATGAATAGATATTAACAATGAATTTCAGCAACCAGGACACGTCTTCTGCGAGAATTCGTCTTGTAATTTATTTTATTCATATTTAAGGTTTTCCATTTTTTGTTGGCTTCCTTTTTTTTGGGATCCTTTCCACTTCAGCAACGTCGTCCACTAAAAAACTTTAATCATAAAACAAGAAGAAACCACGAAACAGCGCCCAACACTTTCAGCAACTTGAGGACGGGGACAGGACTCCTTTGCAGCTTGACGAAGTCCTGCTCCTGCCCCTGCCCCACTCGACTGTGCATTAATTCCTACCTTTTATAATGCAAAAATGAAAGAAATAAGGTGCACTTACACCGCCCAAAAAGCCACCCCACGTTTCCTTTCCTCGGAAAACACAAGGATCGCCGGAGTGGGGCTGGGGCGGTGGGCAGGGGGGATAAAGGAGAGCATAAAGCAAAGCAAATTCCAAGCATGCCATGGAGATGGCGACTACGTCGAGGACTTGCACTCAACAAGGACGCCCATGACGACGACGACGACGACGTCAAGAGCAGTCCAAAAAATCCAAAAAAAAAAAGGACCTCACACACAAAAAACGTAAATTTGTTGTTGCTGTTGTGGAAATTCTTCTTCTTGGCTGATTTTTTTATTTTAAGTATATAATTTTTGTTTTATTTTTTGAGGGAAAAACAAAGGCCCATAGCTGGACTTGGCGAGCTGAACATTTTTGTTTAAAGTTAGTCAACATCCCCGCCGCTTTCCTAATTGTGAAAATGAGCGAACGTGGATTACTCTACTTTGCTTACAGTTGCCAACGAAATTGAGTGGCTGCCTGCTTGCCTGGCCGCATACTTACCCACCGCACTGTAGCCCACAGCCAACAATTGCCATTGCACTTGAGCAGTTCAGTTCACTTTATTATTACAAGCTTAAAGGATATTCCCGTCTCTATTTACCTAGCTGCCAGCTACATCCTTCACCCTACGGGAGGAAGCTTGGCTTTTTTTACTTTGGATTGCATATGATTTTGAGCTGGAAAACAAGTTTTTTTTTCCACATCCAGATATTATCTGCTAATGATATCGTAAAGTTGAGAGGGTCCTTCCCCTGCCTTCCTCTGGGGAGAAAATTGAATGCCACATCATCTTCCGTTCATAAATATTGGATGCTGAAAGCTTTTGCGGCAAGGATAAGATGAGTTGCAGTCAAATATTGAATATATATCACTCGAGTATGTATTTGCAATCATAACACACGCTGCAAATGCAATTTCCACAGGACACTTGAGGCCAAGGATACGTTGCACTCTCAATGCGAACACTGCGGAAAGTAGTTCAGTCAAGGATGTGCTGGCATCTGGCATCCGATTTGACAAATTAGAGGTATTAAAAGGACACATTCTACACAGTTACGGTTTATTTGC